CTACCTTGGGAAATCAGATGCTGAGACTGATCCCCATGTTATAAACTTTCCATCATAGATAAGAAACTCTTCTGAAAAAAAAACCTCCTAATATCACAGTGTTTTTTTTGAAAAAAACTGATTTATTACCTCGATATTTTATAAACTATCAAAGGAATGATGACTCATTTTATCTCTAGCTTTTTTCGAGTTTATTTAACTTTCAATTAAGAATGTATTTTGAATCTATTCTGTACACATTTGGCATCACGTGTAGCCATAGGTCTGGGCAACAATCATCAATATTTATGTTAAAAAGAAAGCAGATAGAATATCCATGCAACTAATTTAGAATGGAAATCTTTTTACTTCTTCTCATCTGTATGCCTCCGCGGTGTAGCCTAGGCACATTAGTGAAGCGATGTACATCCCATCCCATTATGGTACAGCCATTGATGAACCGACTCACCCCCCCCCCCCGTTATGTGCAGCATGGCTTCATCTGTGGGGCGATCTACGTCTGGCTTCGTAGATGAACCGAACGCATCTAACGTGTCATCAAGGCACTGCCTTGCAGCAATGTTTACTCAACCCCGGCCACATCTGTTGATCCGAACCTATAAACGACCCGTCATGGTGGTGACTGTTTCTATTGACTTGATTCCACAATTGAGAAACCATTAGAAATTCTCTTTGAATTGAATATCAAACTCCCACTTAGTTGTCATAATAGATACACTAATGGAAACTGTTTCAAAAATACACATTCGCTTAATTGTGTAATGTAGCGATGACACTCATTGTTAGTCCTATTGATTAGCTTGACGTTGAGTGACATTTCGGACGGAAATTAACACAGTGGCAGAATTATAATAGGTAACGTTGTGTGAATCATTGAGGTTGTCGACCACAGTAAGAGGTTGGAGCAGCGGAGTTACTACTCAATTGAATAACATCAATCACACATGACATAAATATCTTAACTTGGGTCAGATAGTAGAGTAATATGCGGTAAATAAGATATGGTGTGTGAGTATATTCTCTATTTATCCTCGACTATTATAAGAAACGAAATTACAGTATCATGTCTTTTTTGGAACAGAAAGTTCGCCGACTAACAAATACGCTTACACGATGTATTTAGTGCAGATTAGTATAGTTTTACATTACTTACATCGAATTCGAATTCGCTCAAATATGTGGGTTTTCAGTTGAGAGGAAAACCTACGTTTATGTTCAATCACTTTTCTGGCGTCTCGTGTTTTCATGTATTTGTCATCTGAAACCGACGCGTTTTGTAATAAATAACAATAAGAGTATATGGGGTCAAGGGTGTGTATTTTTGTAAGATCTATTTTTCCAGTTCTAGAATGAATATTAATTCAATAACAGTGTGAAGTTTGTCAGAGGAGCTAACATGTTTCGTACACCAAATTTAAGATCAGCAGATTGTATTTTGAGAAATTTTTGAGAATTATCTAACAACAATTCGAAGTGGCACGAAGCCATATACATTTCATTAACGAATCTAACACATGTTTATCCACCCGTCCAGCTGATTATGTGTGTCATAACAGTAGTGTATTGCCGTATAAATAGGCTTTAACCAGTTTCAAATATATTTACCCTACATACAAAACAAAACAACATACTCGTTACCCGTTATCTCCTCTGCAAATCAGTACACGCGTCATTAGTACTGTTTCATTTCATTTGTTTGTATCATTTCAGAAGTCCGCCATTACAAAACATTACAATTTTATTTTTATCAAAATTGGACTCATTGTAATCATATAGATAATTATCACGCCACGTTATAATTGACTATTTTGTACTATTCTCCCGTGAAGAGAAATATATAATTGTAAATTTGAACTTAAGAAATTGTAAATAATCAGTGCCTTTGACCCATCAATACACATACAGCCACAGTATTAAACAATATTCATGGAACATACATCTGCAATGTATAAGGACTACATCCAATGACAGCAAGGTAAATACATCTAATGACTACAGGGTTAATACATCTAATGACAGCAAGGTTAATACATCTAATGACAGCAAGGTACATACATCCAATGACTGCAAGGTTAATACATCTAATGACAGCAAGGTTAATACATCTAATGACAGCAAGGTACATACATCCAATGATTGCAAGGTTAATACATCTAATGACAGCAAGGTACATGCATCTAATGACAGCACGGTACATGTATCTAATGACAGCACGGTACATACATCTAATGACAGCAAGGTTAGTACATCTAATGACAGCAAGGTACTTGCATCTAATGACAGCACGGTACATAATCTAATGATTGCAAGGTAAATACATCAAATGACTACAAGGTTAAGACATTTAATGACTACACGGTAAGAACATATAATGACTGCAAAGTGAAGACATATAATGACTGCATGGTACTGACAACTAATGACTGCAAAGTGAAGACATTTAATGACTACACGGTAAGAACATCTAATGAATGCAAAGTGAAGACATATAATGACTACACGGTAAGAACATATAATGACAGCAAAGTGAAGACATCTAATGACTACATGGTTCTGACAACTAATGACTGCAAAGTGAAGACATTTAATGATTACACGGTAAGAACATCTAATGAATGCAAAGTGAAGACATCTAATGACTGCATGGGAAGGACATATAATGACATCAAAGTGAATACATCTAATGACTACGTGACAAGGTCTTCCAATGACTGCACAGTAAAGAATCTAATGACTACACGGTAAGGACATATAATGACTGCAGGGTGAAGCATCTAATGACAACAGGGTAAAACATTTAATGACTGCAAAGAAAATACATCTAATGACTGCAAAGTGAAGAATCTAATGACTGCATGGGAAGGACATATGATGACAGCAAAGTGAATACATCTAATGACTACGTGACAAGGTCTTCTAATGACTGCAAGGTAAAGAATCTAATGACTACACGGTAAGGACATACAATGACTGCAGGGTAAACATTTAATGACTGCAAAAAAATACATCTAATGATTACAAGGTAGAGTATGTAATGACTGCAAGGTCAGGGAGTCGGGTGACTGCCAGGTAAAGACATATAGTGACTACAGAGACAAGATATCTAATCAAGGAAAATAAAAGAATCTAATGAATGCAAAGAAAGAATCTAACGACAGCAAAGTAAAGATATATAATGACTGCAGAGTAAAGACACCCAATTACAGCAGAGTAAAAACACTGAATGACTGCAGAGTAAAGACATCTAACGACTGCAAAGTAAAAAACGTCTAATGACTGCAGAGTAAAGACACCCAATGACAGCAAAGTAAAAACACTGAATGACTCAAAGTAAAGACATATAATGACTGCAGAGTACATACATCTAGTGACTGCAAATTAAGACATCCAATGACCACAAAATAAAGACATCGAATGATAAATTAATTCATCTAATGAATGCAGAGTAAGGACATCAAATGACTTCAAAGTAAATGCATAATGATTGCAAAGTAAAGAGGTATGAGTCAATTATTATTTTAAATCAGTCTTCAAATTTAAACATTTCTTCCCTGATTACGAACACTATTAACAGCGTCTTTTTGGTTGAGTTTTCTTTTCAAAATTGTTTTGATTTTCTTTCGTATTGAAAAGAGTAAAACAATGGCATCACCAGTGAAGCAAAAATCAAAGTTTGGTAAATTATATTTCTCTGTCGATGTCACAATCCTTGTTATTGTATTCTTAACCATAACTTCACTAGAAAGGTCAGACGACAAGACAGAGCTATCTAAAAATCAGTGAAAATATTCCATATACCTGGAATATTGAAATTTACACAAAAAATCGGATTTCCATGGCGTAATTTGTCTCGTCGTACTCTTTATTCACACTTAATTTCGAAACGATTTCACTCATAAAAAGTGACATTTTACTGAATTTAATCAGAGCCCCTGAACAAGGCTTTAACCGCACGGTTCAATCATGGAGGTAATTTACCTCCATGGTTCAATGAAAACGATCCCGAACAACAACGTTATGTCAACGAGTGTATGCAAGGTTGATATGTCACAGTACACGCACCAATTGATTATGTACGTATTAATTAGAATGTATATACCCTTTTCAGCACAATTGTGTCACAATTGTATGTAAGGTTGAAAATTACATACAAATTGGAGCATACATGTAATCAGGATGCGTGGATATACGTCAAAACAAGACTTGGTTTATTATATAATTCAAGGCAACAATGTTACATAATGAATACTGTCACAAAATATCTTATTTTACAGATTATCACTGATAATATAAGATCACAGTCGCCAGCTGACGTAGAGGGTAGCACGTGTCTAACTACGATGATCGCGGCGATAAGAAAGGGAAGCATTCAAAGAAATTATTCAAAACTTTGATATCTTTTTTTAGCGAGTACAATTATTTGAAATTAAAGTATATCAATTTTATACAATAAAAAAAGTGTGATTTCATAGAGTTGGACAGTAATTGGTTTGTTTAGGGAGGCTGGAGAAAATGTGATTATTAATGTGCTCATCGTGTACCAATCCAAATTGGAATGCGACTCGATAGATAATAATGAGAACAACCTTGAATTCATTAGCACGTGGAAATATGTGTTCACCAATAGAGTGGATGTGGATGTATTTTTGGTTTATATGCAATGAACATTTGAATTCGACCATGCGTATATGATAATCGCGTTGATATATGCGAGAAAAAACAGACATGTAGTTATATTGGTTGTTGCCAGTGTTGTGCGTAATATTCGAATAGTCAATTTTGTACTAATCAATGACATTATCGTATTTTAACGCACGTCATACTCGCAGCTGATATATCGCCCACTCAGATTATCCAGTGTTTATCCCATAACCGATATCGTATTATATACGTTAAAATTATTTTCGAAATGGAAAACGAAACGGGAAATATAACCCTAAACGCACATTGGAGAATGTTGCGTGTTTTTACACAAAATATTAGACATGGGGGTGACTTACCCGCATTTGTTCCACGGTGTCATTCTTTCCAAAAGTCAATTTGATTTCCATCTTGCGTGCAACAGCCGTTCTGTTAATATGGGCATGCATTGTAGATGCCATGGAAAAGATTTGTCGACTATCTGTCTCACTTCGGCTTATCCATAGTATGCACTGCTGATGACACTCTGCGATGATTATTCAGTCTGTTAACAGTTACACAGGGCAACTAAAACGCTTTTGGTCCCTCTGTTTAAAAAAATACCAATCGATGACTTTATTGGCGGAGCTCTTAGTTAAATGGCAATAATTAAGAGGTACACATTCACTTTTCAGTCGGTTCGAATGGAAATCCCTTAAGCAAATAATATAAACGGAACGTCTCTGCAAACGGCCCTGTCATCCGAATTATTGAAGAAACTAATGTAGTCTAAGTATTTCAGAATCACAGAATGTTGGTTATATATCGATCGATGACGAGCTGTTATCCACACATTGTATTGATCGTCAGTTGAATGATTGTGTATACAAAAGGAGTGGGAATCTGTGCGTTTAGCTCATAGCAAAATACGCGAGAAAACGCCATGTGACATCTATGTAGTCACTCATCAAGAAGCCCAGTTTCCATGACAACTGTATTGTCGAATAAAAAAACATAATTTGATCACGTGAACTACAAATGTCTAGCCTAAATGGCATGTTATTAACAATTAAACGCGTATAACGACATCGGAATGGGCATTCAACGCAATGGAATGGATACTTTTTTTCCTTGTTGGATATTTATTATCAGAATTGAATATGTTTATATCATGATATATTGTATTTAATTAATGTAAACACAACACAGATATATTTTAATCGATTGAGCTGAGATCAGAGTGGTCAATAGAACAACTATCACAAAATCCGAATTGGCATAGATCGACCAAACACAACTCGAGATTTAAATATCTGACAGTCGTGCGTGGTATACATTTATATTGGTGGTCTCGCGAGTGGGGTCATTATTACCATTATGTATAACATAATTTTTATAAATATAAACAGAAATCTTAACACGTGCTGGTAATATATGTTGGAAATGATGTAATCGTGTGGTTGCTGTGGTGTGGTATGTACGCAGAAAGATGATATTGTTGTGCAACATAGTTGTACACTGTGTTGTTGTGCTGATTCAACCACTTTCAGAAAGTCCGAATTTAGCGGTCATTTGGAGTTGAAAGAGTTGTTCGAATTTCATTTTCTATATAGAGCACATTTCGCCCTTGTTGTGAGATATATGCGATCAGTTAACGCGCCCCGTAACATCGAATCGTACAGCTAAAGATACACACAATCTTGGATTGCAAGAACAACGCTTTCCCACAACCGCACTTCTAACGTTCTTCGCAGCGTCGGGCTCGGGTCTAATATAACAAAAGTCGCATGCAATCCATAAACGTTAGCAAAATCAGCTCGTGATGAGTACAGGCGTTTGATTCTATTTGAATTGCTGGAGATAGGAATTAGTTCTGTCACCATACATTTGGTAACGGTTATATAAAAAGGTACTGTCTCTCTGGGAACAATTATCATACACAATCCAAATAATCACCTCGTTATGCTCTTTGATAATTTGCCGACAAATATGCTAATTTCCCCTGAGAGGTCTTATATTCTTTGCCAAATACCCGATCGTACAGTTTGTAGCCTATAATTAAAGACGGTGGTGCTAGCCTTGTTAACTGTACGTATTGTCACGTGACAATATCTTTATAATTTATTCAGTGGATGCCGCATGGTAAGTTGGACTCTATTAGCAACAGCAAATGATATTCAGCTGCAAACTAGGATTTTGGAAAACTGCCAGTAATAATAATCAAATCTAACACGAGCTTCTCAGCCAATCAGTGAATGGAATGCTCCATTACAGGGCTTTATACGCACTAAAGGCAAATTTGTCTACAAAAAGTAAGATTTTATATTTCTCTTGTGCCGTGCGTGTGTCTGTGATTCAATAATACAGAATAACTTAAACGCAGAGAACATATAACTGTGCCGTTTGTTGAATTTGTTTGCAATTATCATGTTCATTATCATTTTAGGTACGTGACATTGTGTGGAACCGGTTTTTATATAGATAAGTACAGATAAGTATCACGTTCTGTCACGCTGTGCTATTTTATCTAAGATGACAGTTCGCTTTCTACTGAACACGTATGACATGAAAACAAGGACCATGCCCATTCAGGAATTCATTGATGTTTATCTTAATGAATATGTTACATACAGTACTGTAAGCCATTTATGTAACTTACACTTCAAAAGTTAAGGACAACAATAATTTTTGATTTAAGAAAAATAAATAAATTACACAATTTCTAAATTAACATAAGGCATTGTTATTCTTCTTAATATATGCATTAAAGACACAATTGTGTACAATGTATACTTAGACAATGGCTAATACTTTTCTCATCCGATGATGGGAACACAATGTACATGCATTGACGTATAGCATATATAACGAGTACATTGGAGGTTCTCTGGGCTCTCTTGGACCCAAGTCCACTAGCATCTTCTCATTATTATATTCATCTACTAACAAGAGCGTCTAAAACATTGTTTTTTTTTATTATTATTATTATTCAACTCACTGGACACGTCTGAAAATGAGATGTAGTGCTTTCTTCTTCTTCGCCTTGTTTTTAATAAATAAACCAAACATTAATATCGACTCAACACCAAAGTGATATATCCATGCACAGAACATAATTACTTATGGCAAAATAAATGTAACTAATGAGTACAAATAAATGATGTACAAGTCAGTCAAAAATGCTCAGAATACATTCTACTATATAGTCAATATATTAACAAATCTTCGTCAATACCCCCTGGGTACTGCTAACCTAGTGAAATATGAGATTTATGAAACTTTCGTTTTTATAGCCTAGTCTGTACTCTTAATGAACGATGCAACATATATGGGAAATCCCTTCTGAAATTCGAGCTCCTCCTGATCGTGTTTGGATTTCGCCTAACGCGAAGTTGCAATGTATATTACTTCGCCTTGTCTTTGGGAAACCTCGGTTGTAGAACTGGGTTGATCATTTATTCAAACAACCTAATATACTAACTAACACCTCCTCCACACAAACACATAATGAAAATACAAATTTAATATAGACGGTACATGTAGTTTAAAGTAACAATGAATCATTTGGTGATACATCGGGGTAACTGTCTGTCGATAGCGGAGCATAGCCAGCGGAACGCCAGCACCGTGCCCTTGAAATAACAACATTGAACTTGAACAAATAATGAATAATATGAACAGAAATTTAATGGTCAGAAGAACCTCTTGGAGGTCTCAAAAATTGCGGCATACGTCATCACGTAAAACTACATATGATTATTCTTTGGGCTATGGAATGATCTTGACGAAACGTCATCTATTACATTTTATATGGTCTCCAAGGCAACCAGCAGTTAAACGCTGCCGCCGTATTGATCGATTCTTAACAAGCACAGCAGTGGCTCACTCTCTTAGAAAAATCAACTTACAGTGCAACTCGAGTTTTAATCTATAGTGTAGGTAAGAACGAAAAGAAGTTTGTTATTTTCATTTCAACTGCTGGCAGCTGGAATTTAATCACCTTGTTAGAATCAACTCTATAGTTCCATATGATATTTTTCACCAATCAACAATAAACATACATTTCTAAATCCGAAAATATACAGATTACTCTTCCCGGATATACTTCTAATCATATTGCGACCGGGGGGGGTATATATTCAATTTGTACTATCATTGCGACATGTACAACGCGTGTGAGGAAACATTAACGAAATTCTGTGGCGATACATTTATCCATCCTCTGTTGATAGAGGGCAGCAGAGTTGACGAATCAGGTCATTGTTACTGACGCACTCCATCGTAAATCGCAGCAATCAAAATGTCACAGATAATGAGAAGACATCGACATGTTTATGTTCGTGTCACCACAAATCAAAGACAATACTAATTAAGAAATCTAGACATTTCGTTTTGCAGCTCATTGTCTTGCGAATAGAGTATGACTGAACACCTGGCAATGATTCTATCGGGAGAGAAACTTGTGCTTTTTCCATTGAGCAGTAAAACAAAGAAAGTGTATTCCTATCCAACACGACGACCACTGACCTTTTGTTAAAATCAATTAGGAATGCCTGCAGCTATAAAATAATTAAATAAATGCTGGGATTCGTACTATTACATTCAACTAATAGCGACTGAATTATTAACCCTCTGAGCGCCAGAATTTTTCCCGACGCAATTGTTTTGTTCTGTATGTATTATATACAACTGCTTACAAATCTTGATTTTTTGATAAAATGGAAAAAAATATGTGTGTTTAATTTGTTAAATGGTGGCATTTGCGCTCAAAGGTTTGAATCTATACAATGGTGAGCTAAACACCGCCAGACGAGTGTTAGGTCGTATATTGTGACTGACTAAATGTTTGTCATAAAAGCCAATTTTATTTATTGTATAATATAAGCACAGTCCCTCAACAGTGAACTGTTAACCCTCTGAGCGCCAGAATTTTTCCCGACGCAATTGTTTTGTTCTGTATGTATTATATACAACTGCTTACAAATCTTGATTTTTTGATAAAACAATAACAGTGAATTATTAACCCTCTGAGCGCCAGAATTTTTCCCGACGCAATTGTTTTGTTCTGTATGTATTATATACAACTGCTTACAAATCTTGATTTTTTGATAAAATGGAAAAAAAATATGTGTGTTTAATTTGTTAAATGGTGGCATTTGCGCTCAAAGGTTTGAATCTATACAATGGTGAGCTAAACACCGCCAGACGAGTGTTAGGTCGTATATTGTGACTGACTAAATGTTTGTCATAAAAGCCAATTTTATTTATTGTATAATATAATCACAGTCCCTCAACAGTGTTGAGGGACTGTGATATAAGTGAAATAAGTGTGAAGGTGCAATATGTCTGAGAGATTTCAACGTGGTGGCAACGACTTCAGTTTGTTCGAAACAACACACAACAGGGGAAAAAAGAGAAAGTTAATGACTGCAGTCCTGCCACTAGCCATGTTATTATTTTCCATCAAATAATTACATAGATTTGAATATGATACATGTACGATACAATTTATTTAGACGAATATGGGTTTAGAAGTCACCGAATGGGTCTGAGCCTTAGGGTAGCAACCCTCCCCTAAATGTCATGAAAGTATGTCTGCACTTTGTGTTATCAATAAAAAGTCAATTTCGAAATTGTTTTTTCCATGTCAATCAAAACTATATTAGGTTACATTGATTACCCCAGAGAATCAAACTGTTTAATAATATATCCAAGTTTGGTCAAGATTGAACCACAAGAAAAAGTTTACACCAGAGTAAGGTAAGGTAAAAACCGTACAGTCGTACACACAATATTAACATGCACACATCCTCATAGATACATACACCTATATGTAAGAAATTTAAGGTATACAAGCTCTAAATTTAATTATGCATATATTACACTACTAAAAGTAAAACAATAAGGTTGTTGACAAGTGTATGTCTCGGTGCAATGACCAAATCACATTGTAAACTTAACATTTGGTCATCCATTGGTGCATTTGCGAGAAAAAACTCAAAGTAATACGATAACGCAAAAAACACACATAACAAATACTATATTTAACACATACTCTTGTTCTAACTGTAGAACTGTGGCGATGTATGTCAGATATTTATGAACTCAGTTTATGTGTTATGTTACAGTGCACTATGTGCACAGAAAAGCAATGTGTTTCCCGCTGTGGGAAACTATTAGGCAAAGTCATAAAACTAAAGATAACAACATCCTAATCATATAATGACTTCATAGATCATGAAGTAAACGATGTAAAATTTAAATCAGCCACTGTGCTGATACATCCCATGGTTTATAAATGCATGTGTTGGCTACAACTAAAGCTGGTAAACAAAACAATTGATTATCATCATAACCAAATTACCTTATTCCATCTTACTCACATCTAAAGTATTTTTCATCATCGCTGGCTATTATAAACTGAGACTTTTGCATGCAACTGTATCGTTTCTATATGGTAGTAATAAAGAATATTGTATCTAACCATACAGTAAGACGGTGGACATTCACGTTGCTCTATTATCACATGTGAATCAAGTGATAAAATTGTGTGCCACGACGATTGTAGATTTAATATTTATTTCAATAATATGAACCTGTAATTGTGTGATCATAGAAGTTGGGTGTCTTCCTCGAGTAATTTCATATCCCCAGTGAGAAGATTGAAATGAACAATGCAAATATGCAAAAACGAAGGAAACAAAAATGTCTTCAATGTTAAGGTCTGTAAAATTATACAAGGTTTTAAGAAGCAAAAGCCTCAAACCATGCACGTTTGATGGCTCAAGTATATTAACTGAAGGAAATAAATTGGAGCATTGCAAGGAATGAAACATCCAGTTAGTCATCAGAATCACTGGATGACTCTTCATAGCTACTCTCAATAATGACATCTATATGTGCAAGAGGGTCCACAGCGTTTGGTGTGAAACTATCTGCCGAACAGCATTCATATTCCTCTCTCTGTGTGAACTTTTTCTCTGGGGAACAACCACCTGTCTTCCTTCTGTCTGTTTCATAAGTAGAGTCACAAAATGAACTTAATACATTCGGTGCAGCTACTGCCATAGTAGGTTTTGAAGGGACAGTGTTTGAAAGTGTTCCCCTACCATGACCTGTTCTGCAATGTGGTTGTGTGTAAGTGTTCTTACTGACAGATGCATATGTTTGCAATCCAACATCAGATGATTTATCATTACTTAGTGGAATATCTTTCAATGACAAACCCCTTCCTAAACCTCTTGGTGGAAATGGCATTGTTGATGCAAGAGGGGATTTCACACAATAATTTTCTACAGTGATCTTGGTCTCAGTTGATTTGGCAGTATCACAAACTGTAAATGTGTTTGAAGTCTTGGTTAAGCTTGTGGAATTCTTTGCTTCCTTGGTGGCAGAAATCACTAATTCTTCTGTTCCAATATTTCTTGGAAGTGAACCCTTTGATTTACCTATGCGGTCTTGTTTGGCATCATGTATTATTGTTACATTATTATCAATGGGCGTCATACTATCAGGGACAAATGCATGATTCAATTCCATTCTAAGCCCACAGTTTTGCTTCAACTGGAGGGCATCCCCTGTTTCTGTTTTCGCTAAAACATCTTTCTCATCAAATGCATTAACACTTGAGCACGTGCTATAGCTCTTGTTAAAACCATACACAGCATCTTTGTTTTCTCCTTCACCACTTTCACCATCATCTTCACTCTCATCATCAGAGCTGAATGGTTCAATCTCGAATTCCGAGCTGTTAAAATCTTCACTGTTAATTTCTGATGAAAGATCACCAGTAAGAGAACTGCTGTCACTAGAACACGTGAAATCGCGAGATGTTCCATTTATGTCAGAGAGATTAATGAAATCCTTGTTTTTCTTTTCTTGATTAGACTCTTCACTTTCCTCAGCTGCAGCAGCTTGAGCAAACTCGATGCAAGTCCTTTCAGTGTGCGTTGAATGTTCAATATCATCTGCATGATCTTTCCTAAGAATCTCCATACTGAGTACTTCATCAAGTCCAGGCAGATCACAACCAATGTATGCATTGTTATCAACACAATACTGAAGTAAGCGCACCCAGAAAAGATCCTGAGAAAGTCAAAAAAGATTCAGATTATGTTGATGGACTATACTATAAACTCAAATAGAGAATGACAGAGAATCATGTTAAATATACCTAAAATCATGTGACTAAAGCCCTATGTTGCACAAACAGCCAAATTCGTATAGGTACTTCTCCTACATTTCATGATCGATCATCACATGCTTTATATTCGAAGGGCTAGTTCTGGAGTTGACATATTAATATTATGATTTGTGAGAGGTAAAACTTTTTACAAATCAATAATATTGTAAATCCTCACCTTGACTAGGACATATGGATTACCAATGATAATTAATAATGCCTGTGCACGAGTTATAGCTACATTGAATCGCTTTGGATTACTGAGAAATCCTATATGATGCTGGGCATCAAAGTTCATGAATGACTGGTTGGATCGCACCTATAGGTAAAATAATAGAAAAGCACCATGTCATTATAAGAATAAATTTAATGAGCCATGACACTTTCTTGTTGAGTAACGAAAAATAATATTTGTTTTTGATATTTGTTAATTTGCATATTCATCTTACT